TGTTTTCCGATATAAAGTCGCGGTGACAAAGATTATTGTATATGTGTGCTGAAAGATCAGATGGTCGAGAGGGATGGGCGGCACAGCCGGCGATAAGCTAGCGCAATCTGGTATCTCCGGCGGCGCGTCTTGAGATTTTTGGCGCGTCCAATTTTCGTCATCGCAGTCGCGCGTTGACTGCACAACCCTCGGCTATCGCACACCCCTCACTGTTTATAATGGGAAAACCAAAGCGCATGAGTGAGATGTTCGCATCGTCGGCCGAAAAAGATGCCAACACCACGACGGTGACTGCGAGCCCGCCGTACTCGAGCGAAGGACCTACCCTACCCATCATTGGGGCACCCGAGGACGCACCGACAGCTGGCAAGAAGCGAAAGGCGCAAGATAAGATTAATGGATCAGCCTCGAAGAAGCCATCACAACCACCATCTCCTCCCACGATCCATCCCTCTCTCTACGAGCCATGGACACGGCTGCCTACCGAGCTACGCAAGCTCCTCGAAACCCAGAAGCGCATGCGAGCCACACAGAACATCGTACCCGTCGTCTTCTCGAAGAATCAGAACATCAAATCCGGTATCAACAGGTTGAAGACATATTTGGGCGCGTACAAAGACCCAGCGTCTACAATCGAGATGCCGGAAGCTCTGAAAGAGGATGATGTGATCATAGCTGTTTCTGCACAGGGTGAGGGCACAACAAAGCTAGTAAGCATCGTTGATATGGTCCGGCGCATTGTAGCACCGAGTGGTGGAGAGGACGATAAGCATGGGAAGGAGGAGGCATGGTGGATGTACACAATGCTCACGAGCGTCGAGGTTGACCGAGAGATCAAAACCAGGCCGACGGAAAAGGACGATGCGGACGTCGAAAAGGCACCGAGCACACAGAAGAAAGATGAAATGTCAAATGAGAACAACACGATGAAGAGGAGGAAAATACCCGTGCTAACAGTTTGGATGACCAAGAAGCGGATAGCCGCGTTCGGGAATGTCTTTGGAGAGCAGACATTCGCTGTGAAGCTGCTATCACAAGACTCTGACTGAATGCCACGCGACGAAGCAATCGAAATTTTAAGAAGCCGCTTGCACTGCGGGTATGCCACCGTCAGAACTTTGGACGACCTCGACTCGCTCGATCCAATACAACCGATTGACGGCTCTGCCCGCCTTGCCCGCCTCGCCCTCTTTGAACCGACCGCATATAGCACATACCACAGCGGGCCCGCCAGCCGCCAACATGAAGGCAGCGTCCTCTGCATCTTCTATCTGAAATCGCCGACGGTTCTTCCCCGGCTCCATCTTATCGTACAAGTTGTCCATCGCAGCATGTAAACGAGGGAGTTCCAGGACTGCATCACTTCCAGAGTAGGTGTAGACCGTGTTACCCACCCATTTTCGTGGAACGGGCGTGCTAAGGGGATAATGGGCGCTCTTGAGGACGACACTGTATGGGTTATCTGCCGAATTCGCTGCCATGTTCGACGGAAAAAGATACTTGTCGGGAAAGAATTGCGCTGCCGACAAAGCAACTTATAGGCAACGACATGCGTGTTAGCACACGCCTCATGACCTAGTCCGGCAGCTGAGCAAACTTTAAAATGGCAACTAATTGGCATCGGTTTATCAATACGATGTGTCCATCAACTTCCACTTTACGTTGGCCAAATCTTGGACCCGATGGCGACCGAGGTGTACACAGTGTCTACCGACCTCAGATCCAAAGCATTAGTCCTGATGACACTGATTCGCCCCATCCCACCCTCCCCATTCCCCTCTCCTACCTCCCCTCCCTGGCAGGGTGAGCCACTCGGCGTGTGGGCACACGAGCTTCCATCGGCCAGTTTCCTCCGACTGCGGATGCTTCAACTCCGAGATTCTATGCGTGCTGCCGGCGACATCTCAGCTACGATAGCTACCATCACGCCGGGAACCTATCAGCTGGTGAATGGTGGGCCGGCTAGTAACGGTGAGCCAGTATTTCATTTCGGTGTCCTGACTGGGAAGGAGATGGAGAATGGGGTACATCACGAGAGGCTGTACTGGGTTGAGCTAGCGGACTATCACGCTGGTATGTGAGTCTACGGGCCACATGCATGTCTCTCGTGAAGATGCCTCGTGATCTCCAATATACCTTAAGAATACAATTCATCACCTAGATCAAACATTATCTCAATCTCAATAAGAACACAAAATACCCCAAGCGATCTCAACACACAACAGACATGCCCTCACGCATCATCCCCGCAACCAACACCCCCCTCCCATATCCCCCACCACCGAAGCCTCCACGCCCGCGCATAAGCCAATACGTCCTGATGCGCACCACTTGCTCCGCCTGGCCTCTCCAAATGGTTCCGCAGCATTCCTGGGTCGGCAACGCAATCCAAGTATTTGATTGCTGGAATAGAGCAAAAGACGCCTTGAATAGAGCAGAGACCGACGCAGGTTTATGGGGCTGTACTACACGTAGGGTAACTGCGACGTGCTCGGCGGATGGTGGGTACGAGGACTGGAGCTCGAATTCGACGGTTGGACTGGTTGAGGCAAACAATGGGGTATGGGACTTGTGGTGGATTAGAGAGGTTGAGTTTGGGGGATGATGGACGGATACACGATAAGATGCACGGTATTTTAGGTTGACACACTGGGTAGTCGGAAGAGGCATTAATTGCATTGCTTTTGTCTGAAAGCTGAGCATGGACGCTATCTATCACTTATGGTTTTATCGGGAACCACTGACTGAACACTCCCTTCGGGTCGTATTTCCTCTTGAGTATTTTCAGCTTGGGGAGACTGGATCCGTAGATAGCAGTGTTGGTCTCGTCGCCAAAGGCGAAGTTGGCATAGCTGCGCATCTTGTGAGCACTAGTTCGTTTCGATCATGGCAATAGACACTTACGTGGGATCATTCTTGGGATTATCGCTCCTCGTCCAAAGTGCTCTGACCTTGCTTCCAAATTCTAGGGCCTCCGTATCGAGGCCAGCATCATCATACCACGGTATGACAATAGCCTGCGAGAACGCGTCCCTCCTGAGTGCTTCATTCATTGCTGCCGAGCCAACTGGTGCCGACATGGCCTTGGTCAAGTTGTAGTGCTCGATGAGAACGGCGGAGTTCGGACCTTTGGCCTGGAAGCCTTTGTAGAGCTCCCAGATCTCAGGCCACTTCTGAGCGTTCATGCCCGTGATGGTGGAGCTGTACGACGGCTTGCGACCACCGCGAGTGCAAAAGCCGATGTTGGCATCGTTCCAGTGATCGTACGTAGTGATAGCGCTGGACTCAGAAATGGGGCCAATGTCGTAAAAGGGGGCGAAGGCCTCGCGTCCTGTTTCGTTCGTGCCTTTACGAAGTAAGCCAGTGACGAGGATAGAAGGCTCGTTGAGCGGCTCCCCACTAGACGTCAGTACAAGGTACACCCGCTGCTGGGGCGTAAGAGGAAGGTCTTCAACCGCTTGCGCAACCTGCTCGAGCTTGTCGGGTGAAAAGAAAAGGTTGTTGATGTATGCTGTGCGATCCTCTTTAGTAGCGGGCGTTGCCTTGACGGTTGCTGAAACGACGATTCCGAAATTGGGTCCTGCCCCCCGAAGTGCCCAGAACAGTTCCCGATGCGACGTGGCTGATGCGGTAAGTATTTCGCCTGATGCAATCACCACTCGCATGGAGATGATGTTGTCGACTCCGAATCCGACCTCGCCCATGAGATTGCCATAACCGCCACCAAGCATCGCACCCAGAGCGCCAACGCAGTTACAGTTTCCGGTGATGATCAATGCACCTGCAGTATTCGCTGCTGCAATCGTGTCTCCGATGCTTGCACCGCCACCGATAGTGGCGGTCTTCTTGTCTGCAGCGACAACGACTTTGTTGAGATTGGCAAGGTCGATCAGGACACCCCATTTCCCCAACTTGAAAGTCTTTCCCCATCCGATGCCGCCATTCTGTGCAAGGAACGGTATCCCAATTTTCGTACAGTATCTGACCTTTTCGTTGGATTAGCATCGACGATCCGTTGTACCGGCAATTTGGTTGAGGCTGAACCTACTATCTTTGCTACATCCTTGTCATTTTGCACGCGGACGACCACAGATGGAAGGGGGGCGTTGTAATCACTCCAACGTGCTCGAACCTCGACGTTGACCGAAGATGGCGACGACACCAAAGTCTCCAGATCCTTGGCGACATCAGTCTGTCGTACAGCAAGTGCAGAGACCGCCGCGGCAAAAGAAACCAGTAATGATAAGACCCTCATGTTGACAGTACCAAGGGAATGGGCAACGGCCCAACGTGCTTTTTAATTGACATCAAACTTTCCAGGCTACCTGCATGGTGGCATAGAATGCCCGGACCGCAAGTCGTCAGGGCGAGGGATTTGTCGTCCCGGTGGAAACTCTAGTCGACAAACGGGATGCAGCCAGCGTCCCTGCATACTAAATCCGTGCTGGGTTAGGTATAGTCACCGACGCGGTTATCTGCCGTACTCGTTCGCAATCGACCCGGTTACCGCGGGCGCAGCCGCATTCGGTTATATGTCCCCCGACGGCCCCGGACCCGTGCGTTACCCTAAAGCACACCAGCACAATGTCTCCACACATGACTTTCGCAAGAGTTCAGCGAGCCATGTTGAGAGCATGACGTGGGTCGTGTTCCTTTAGGCGGTTCCATCCTTGCGCACGTGGGTTGGATTCAGGTAGCATTGAACCACCATCGAAAGATTCGGAAGGTGACAGCGCTGCAGGAACAGGGTATCTGTGAAGTGCTGTCGGTGGTATGCAAGATATATTTCGCCGATGAACTTGGCACTCGGCAGTATTTTGCGAGAAGGATTCCAATCCAATCAAAAACAATGCATATGCTACGCCAATAGCCTGGAGACAACCTTGAGCAACCAGTTCCGAGACATATACCGAGCGGAGTATTGTAGGATTCGCGGTTCAATATGCTAACACCGGCGCTTCTTGTTGGCACCGAGGTAGACGCCCTTTGTGGGAACACATTCATCCCAACGTCTGGTGAATCGTGATTTCCTTCGTAATACCGCGCTTGCCTAGCGTTGAGGCGTCTTCGGGAGGCGTAGAAGGAGCTTCAGAGCGCGCCGTCAGCTCTGCATAGCATTAGTGGAGCGCTTTACGGGACGTCATGCATTACGTACCGATCTCGTCAATCTCCTGGTATGGCTTGCGTATCAACTTGCCGCCAAACGTAGTACTTTTCGTGGTGCCGTTCAGCGCGGATGAGCCAAAACCGTGACCTGATGATCCGTATCCGTAGCTCGAACTGTTTTGTGTTGCTTCGCGAGGGTAAAAGTAAAACCAAATGGGCCGGAGCGTGGGCAAACAGGCGCAAACAACGCCCAAAGATAGTTCAATGTTGGTCCAAAAGAACACCGGTGCTGTGTAATAAATGACGTCGTCGGGATGCTTCAGGTATTCGCCGGCGATCGAGTACGTGGCCACAACCCGTGTGATGCTGACAGCACATACTCTGTACGACTCAGTTGTCTTGAACACAATGACGTACGAGACGAAATAATACTTACGCAGCTCCAAGTGAAAGCATTACGATTACAGCTAGCTTCTTCTTGGCCTCCATTCTGACACTCAAAACCATCGGGATAGGAAGAATAAGGATGACAATGTCTGCGAAGACACCCGTATACTGGTAACATGGTCAGCCTGGAATCGAAATCATTATGCTGAGTGAGAGACAGTAGCTTACAAGTAAGGCCAAAAACATTGGCACGGTTTCGACACAGCTATTCCCATAGTACGGTTCAATAAATACCGTTATGGGGTAACAAGTGAATAGATGCGAGAATGTGAAGCTGACGGTCCAGCATACGACATACGCAAGCACGCAGTATACGACGATGCGAAACTTTCGTACGTCAAAGATGTTCTTGTATAACACCAAAATCGACGATTTGACAAGACCTAGTCCGATAATGGAGATCATGTTTAGAGCAAACTTTGTCTAGAGAAGTTAGCAATTGCACTGCTATCAGCAGCTGGATGTACTTACTTGTTCAAAGAATATCAATCCCGGATCGTCCATAATGGGCTGGCCTTTTTCATCCAGTGGTTGATGAGACCCCAAGTAACCATGTATCGCAGCTATCAATCGGCGTAAGTTTGCAACCTGCCTCCCAATCGAATCACTTACTAGCTAATTGTAAGGAGCAGCAAGCCATAGACACAGCCTATGAACGCTCGGTCAGAGGATAAAATACATACTGGACCGCTCAAAGTTCTCTTACCAAAGCAGCAACCGTGAGGAAATCGTCCCAACCCACGCGCTTGGCGATTCTTTTTGCCCATAAACGCAAACAAACGAAGACGAATGGCAGTACCATGAAAGCCACGGCCAGGGCGACCATCATGCTTTTGGAGTAGTTGTGATACATCTTGACTGTCGCTCCAGAGTTCTGTTGGTACAAAAGACTTGTAAATAGCCGGACGGTCAACAAATACTTCGCAATGATGCAGACAGGCAGAATATAGGCTGCACCAAGCAGCATCGAGCTTCAGGTCCTCTCTTCTCATTTGGCCGACATATCGACAGCGTACCACATCCTAGGGACCCCATGGCTTGCTCGTCACATGTAACCTGCGACCCAACCATAACCATCCTTTGAGCTTGGCAGGTCTCCAGTAAACGCCCTGTAGGTACCACAGCACCGAGGGTGCCACGCTTGGTCTGTCCCGAGACTGACCAGGATGAAGTAAGGCTGAGAGATTGCAATCACACATCTCTTGACTTTGAAAATCACCCGAAAGTCCCCAGGACTATGACATCCCAGTACTATGAGCACTTTTGCACGGGTCGGACCAGCGTAGCTTTTGGCCTGCAGGTTGGTGCGTCCCTATACGTCAATCTGGGATATGCGGTGCCCACAGCCTCAGCTGAGATTTGTGCTCCTGGCATGCCACCATGTTGAAGACAAACTCACACACAAATGATGCCCAGCTATCAACTCCAAGGCTGTTCGAAGTGTCTAGCTATCCCAGTAGTAGACCGGTAGACCGGAAAACCTGTATTGTTGTCCTCATGAAGCCGAGAGCCGTGGGGGTGTAGCTGGGGTGTTCCAGACAGGGGTTCGCCGCTCGGGTGAACCTTTCAGGACGGCAGAAGCCGCACTGCTAAGCCACGGGACGTGCAATGACCCGCTATTATAAGACAGCCTCGGCCAGAACCCATGCGAACTAGAGCTGCGCTGATTTCTCATCTTTTGGTCGATGCGACGTTCTACAGACGCCAGCAGTAAAGAGGTTGTAGGTCCTGGAGGCTCTTACGGCTTCGTCGTCTCAGAATAGGCATCTCGCTGTATCGCGTGCACGAATTTGCTTCTGCGGCTTCGAGTCGTCGATGTGGGCGGAGGCTTACTTCCGATAGTCGTGCATGCGAGTCTTATCTCGTAGGATCTGGTCCAAAATCACGTACACCGAGGTGCGGCCGCTGTATAAACTCGCCTACAAGGATAAAATATTAAATGGTACCGTCTTCGACAACATGCGTGAAAGTCCTAGTGCGGAACGGGACTACTACTGAGTTTGACGTCGACAAGCTTTTTGAATGACCGGAACGACATCTCTGCCGTGTTTGGTCAACTTCCCGTGCGCCTGTCGTGGCCCATTGACGCGTTATGAGAAGCCAGCTCAGCCAGTCCTAGGATGATCGCACGGCGTCTGCGTGCTCGACATGTTGTACCATCTCTCAAACGGCACTAAATTTGGCGTAGGAAGCGATGGTGACACCTGGTTGCTTCTTCGTGATCAGTGGTGTATGACGCGTACTGAGGAACGGTGGAAATATATGCGTCACCCGGCTGGCCCCAGCATCGTCGCTGACAGTGTGTTTCATACATGGCTCGCAAAATCGTGGAGTTCCTGAAAATGGCAGCGGTAGGCCATCCATTTGCGTGTGGAGGAGTTGCTGAGGCTTGCAGTGTCTTTTGGGAGTTCTTAGGCAGGCCATGGGGCCCAAACAAGGTGATTTAGCGCGGGCATTACGTCATTGTAATCAATCCACGATAATGCCACCTAACACGACTTCCATTTACAGACGGTTCTAAGTGCACATCAGAATCGCTCTAAATTGTATTCTATTCTCTTGTCCTGGCGCTTAAGCCCACGAAAAGTGTTCCATGTGCAGATACACATCCCGTTTCCCATCCTTCATGCCACCGATCTGCGCACGAGCAACAGCGTTCGACACATCGCTCTGCATACTCAACGGGCCGCATACCAGTACAGACGTACTTTCAGTTCCGTACTCTGCTGCGTCGGCGATGATGGCTGAAAGGTCTGGTCGTTGCGATACATGCTTCGGGGTGAGCGCAGTCTGGATGGTGTCTGATGCGGCTTCCTCTGAGCGACGTACATCTGTCGACAACGCTTTCGTCCCTGAGCCAACACTCTCACTCGAAACTTGGGACTTCTCTTCCAATCTGCTCGGGTTTTCGATGGCACTATTATGCTCCTCCTCCTTACCGGTGTAGTAGATGTCCACGCTCAATTCGTCATAGCGACATCCGCTCAGCTTGTTCGCTATTAGCTCCATGACGGCCTGCTCGAACCAATTCCTGGTCAGCGAATCTCTTGTCGCTAGTATCACTTTCATCGCAGCTTTCCTGTTGACATCTTCGTCGCCGTCGCGGTGCGGGTCTGTTGCGCTCACTGCAGCCTGATGCTCATCCTGCCGCAGGAACGCTTCAATTAGCGGCAAAAGCCAGCCAGCACCAGATCCACCAGCGATAGCCACAACGCTTTGGCTTGCCGCAACTCTCCTCATGTCTATGCCACTATAAGGGCCATCGAGTAATACCTTGAGGCTTGACTTAGGATGTTGCTGAGCGTGCCTCGCCAAGCGTGCTGTAAAACCTCCCTGCGGTCGAATATAGAAGACAAGTTCGTTCGTACAAGAGCGAGTCGCCCCGGGAAGAGAGCATGCCGTAAAAGGGTGTGTTGTCATCCCGTGTACACCAAGGCCAAAGACTCTGATGAAGTAATGTTGACCTGCTTTCCAGCCACCGTTCATCGGAATCGCAATCTTGACAAAGTCGTTCGAGACTTTGCTGACAGCAGCCGTTTTGATTCCGTACTGAAAGAACATGCGCATGTGGCTATGAAGCCAACACAATGTATAGATGACGCCTGTTGCGATGAAATAATCCCAGGACGACAGCCGAAAGTCGCAGTGAAGAAAGAAGGACAGGACGAACACTAGGGCCGCGATGAAATGAGTTGCTTTGAAGAACTCATAGCTGACATTTCGAAGGTAGGAGTTGGAAGCGAATGTCAGCCAGGCCTGAACGCTCATCAGCTTTGCTCTGGGCATAGTCTAAATTCCACAGGGAAGGGAGACGGGTTTGATCACGAACCTGCGTAATGAGAGCGACAACACCAGTCCAATAGCATACGTCCGTATGCCACTCGCTCTCCATAGTGCCTTTCCATACATTGAACACAATGAAGGGGAATGTATGTATCAAAGCAAGCACAAAGCATGCATAGCTGATCCATCGATGGAACAACTGTAGCTTCTCATGCGATACTCCCGTCAATATTGTAATCATATTACTTTTCGTCGACGTCGCCATGATAAAGGGTAGGCAAGCGAGCGACATCCATCCTGTTCTTGTAGCGATCGGCGGTGAGCCTCCGAATGAGATCGGAGGGCTCTTCTGGTTGGGCCAATAGTACGGTCGCGGACCGAGTGTCATACAGACGAAGAAGACTGTGCCTATCGCCCCAAGTATGAGAATGCCGAGTGGTGCGGAGTTCCAGTTCAAAGGCCGGATGCGATATGAACGGTAGGCGAGGTAGCGAAAGATGGCAAGCAGTTGTCGCACAGCCTTGATCTTTGGGAGAGGTTTTCGTACGAGCTTCGAGGTGAGAAAAGGGATGGAAAAGAGAACGATGGTCGCCATGAAGAATGCGAGTGTTGGAAGAGCATACCTGTGGTCGGCTTCGTACCAAAATCTCCAGTACCCTTGCTGCCACTTACAAAGCGTGTCGCTTTTGAGACTGCAGGTGTACTTTCGAGAGGAATGCAGCATAACAGGTTGTGTAAGCCATGGCGTACCCTCACTGTGCATGGAATGCATCGACATCTTGGTCCAAATTTCGCGTTGTTCGTTCGTGAAGTGGTAGCTCGGTCAAGTCTCAAAGGTCGCCAGTCCGACAGCCGGTCAAGGGTAGCAAGGTTTATTACATCAAGGACACAATGTGAGACCGATTGCTTTCATTACCTGCTATACTCGTGACCCACATGTTTATATGTTATATAGAAGTCAGAACGCGGCAGTGGGGCCTATGAGAGGTCAGGATAGTGCACTTCCGGGTGCTCAATCGCAGATACTTGCTCATATTGCGGTATGCCACAGCAAACTCATCACCTATGAACGTGTTTCCGGTAGCGGAAATAAGAGATGCAACTCGTGGCTGACTCCCGAGGCGCACCGACGTTGTTGTTGCCCGGTTAAAGGGAGGGTTGACACACGCTACTCGTATGACTGAGCAAGTTTGCGGTCGTTGTGATTGGCGAAATTGTCCAGCGCATATGAGGTGACGGGATGCTGGTAATTATGCCGCTCAGGATACGTGATGAGTTTTCAACTTCGCAAACGGTTCATTATTTGTTTTAGTTAGACGCGCGACTCCTGTGCACCTTGAGAGTGGTGACACAAAGCTTCGCGTTAAATGTCTACATGCGGGCTGTGAATAGGAGTGGCACGAGGTACATCAAAGCCGCTACACCTCTTCAAGCTTTTGTAACACTTCCCAACTTTTCCATGAATGCCGCTTCTATAGGGGCTAGTTGAGAGCGCGTCGCAGTCATGCTCGCCATGAGGTAGATGACATTACCCAGTATGCGTGAATGAATCTGTACCTGTGATTCAGAAACATCGTGGAGTAAAGCATCGCGAAGGCCGACCGCTGCAGAAGAAGTGTAGCCTAGGTCACGTTAATGAAGAAGCTTGGAGGAGAAAAGATCGACATACCGGAGCCGCCTTCGTCAATGAGCGATACGGCCAGCACTGAACCCAGCGCGTTCACATACTCAACCCTCTCATGATTTGAGACGCTTGCCACGAAGGAGTCGGACCACATACTCCACACACGATTGCCGTTATCATGGCTTACCATCTTGTCCTCGTTCTCGGCCAAGTTCCGCTCATGGCCCAAGTTCAATTTCTCCATGATGTCTAGACTTGTGTTTGCAACGTGGCACCCGACTGCATGAGCGGTATAGCTATGTCCATGCAGGAGAGCTTCCGATTTCTCGTCGCCCAAGAAAGCCTCGAAGATGGATTGGCTGGCGCTGGTAATCGAAAGCGGAAGCAAACCTCCCGTAAGCAACTTCGCATTCACGCTTATGTCCGGGTGGATATCAAGGAATGAGGCCGCAGAGAAGCGGCCCAGACGGTACAAACCAGTGAACACCTCATCAAACATGACAGGAAGACCAGACCAAGCATTCTCCTCCTTCGGAGATTCCGTAACCTTGGAGCCGTTTGCAAAGTCGTAATGACGGACGACGCGCACTAAGCTTTGCTGGAAAAGCGGGTCCACGAATAGCATACCTCCGGCTCCGAGGACGACAGGCTCTAGTACCAAGGCACCGAACTTCTTGCCTTGCTTCTTGACCAGCTCGTCTAGTGTTCTCTCTATGTAGGCCTCGTACTGCGCCGATCTACCTCTGGTAGCGAAATCGAATATCCCGTCTTGACTCTCAAAGTTCTGAGCTGGACCCAATTCTTCTTCCATGCCCTTAGGCGGTTCGACTACCCATTGGCCATTCTTGAGCTTGAAGGTCGGGTAGTCAAACCAGAATCCGCGACCGCGATACCAGTCGACTTTCTCGTTGAAGACACAAGGTTCAGAGGCATCCATGGCCCCAATCGTGTCTCCGTGGTAGCTGCCTTTGAGTCCAAGGACGCCAACGGCCTCTTTCGCGCTATCCCAGCCATAGCGCTTACTGGACGCACGAAGCGCCATTTTGATACCGACTTCTGTCGCTGTACTTCCGTTGTCTGTGTAGAACACTTTCCTCAAACGAGTCCCTCGTGGCGAGCCCGAAAGTATCTTTTCCGCTAGAGTGAGAGCTGGTTCGTGTGTGGCGCCGGCGAACATGACATGACCATAGCGTCCTGCTGCATATGCTGCTTCCAGTGCCAATCGCGGATTACCGTGTCCAAGACCTTGCGTCCACCATGATGCGGAGCCGTCAAATGCTGGGTACAAGGTCTGGTTCTCAGGATGGGGCACCTCTTCATTTCCCTTGTGCTTGACCTGGAAGAAGTCGCCATATGCCGAATCGATGACTAGTATGTCGTTTGCGTTCTTCACATGCTTGTGCTGTGTGAAAGGATGCCAAATCTTGTCCTCGGTTTCGTACGGCATAGATCCTAGGCGGCTGAGTCGCTGGTCGTGGCGATGAATCAGCTCCTCAGCCATTGATTCTACCATTTTGCTGTCACTTTCCGTGTTGTAGTAATTCCGCATAATCTCCGTCTCTTCCTTGGTGCCTGGTGCAACGCCTTGAAGGTCCGGAATCCATTGTAGTTTGTAAGCTGGTATACCCATATCCATGAAATACTTCTTTAAGTAATCCGCGTTCTCATATTGGCTCTTGTCGTCGAAACACACAACAGCATCGATATCGTATCCTCGCATGATCAGGGATTCCGCAGCTGATATAGTAGACGCGATGCCACCTAACCGATGGTCGCCTACAAGCACCGCTGGAAGTCGTAGTGGTCGGAAGATATCCGCCTGTGGCGTGCCGGAAGGTCCAGGACTGAGGACTCCACCAGCTGTCTCAATGATCGAGAATAGCCGACCCTGATCTAATGTGCCTGCTGCTTTTTGGACAGTCTTGAACACCGTTTGACTGATGAGCTCATCGCTGGGCTTTGCTAGTTAATCACCGTTGGCGAAAGCACAATAATAAAGGTAGAACTCACAATGTGTTTCGAACCTCTTGCCGCAACATGCGGGCTCACAGCTTTGTCGAATTTGAAGAGTGTGGAAACACGCTGGCCAGTGTACTTGTGCACATAGCTAGCGTACAGTCAGCCCTTGTGTCCCAAATATCTGTCGGATCACGCAGCACCACACTGACCTATCGTCGGCTTCATCAGCTGGGCCTGTAGATACAGGCTTTACATATTGCACTTTGTAAGGCCCGTGGCGTAACGGCGATGCCCTGCTCTTGAGGCTTGCCCTACCGAAATGCGCACCCAAGAGCGTCGAGAAAACTGTTTTGCCAACTCCCGTGTTGGCACCATAGACCTGAACAGCAATCGCGTTCGTCCACAACCCTCCTGGCACCTTCGCCATTTCTTCTTTTACTGCCCGTTAGTGGTGAGTTGAGGAAGGTGCTATGGTAGATGGCTACACCTGCATGCTGTCCAATGCGGAGAGTGCGCTAGTGGTTCCGCGTCCACACCGACGCTAAACATGCAGGTACAAATGTAATGAGTCAAGCCGCATCTCCGACGGCATCGAGGCGTCAGCTTATGCGGTCTTTTAGCTAATGAGTATGTTTTTACTTTTGACAGGTTTCGACAACGCGGATAGCCGCGGCAGACCCCACGCTTCCTTCCCGCTTTCCGCTGATCCTACCACACGCCAGCCATTTGGTCAGCTCCACACCATCACTGGAGGTCACGTTATCGTGGGTCAAAGGCGTTCCTATCATCACCTTCACAGGAAGAAATGGGGAGCAAAATGCATTCGGCGCCGTTGCAAATCAGGTTACAAGAACTACTCGATCGCCGACGGACA